TTCTGTAACTGTGCAAAATTAATCAATCAAATTAAAGAAGACCCAAATTTTTATTGATATATTAAAGGAATCATTATCCAAAAAATATACAATAATACATAGTGTGTAATATAACTAGTATATATTTATACCAGTATATAGTATTTGTTAATAATATTTTCTTCTCTTTTTTTTCCAGTTCAATATTTGTATACTATATATATATATATATATATATATATATATATATATATATAATATATATATATATATAACAGTAATACATAGTGTGTATACTAGCATATATTATACTAGTATACTATATTTGTTAATAATAACATGAGACTTTTTTATATATTAACGTGGTTATGAAATATTGTTATAATTGTCATCAATAATTAACAAAATGGAGAATGTTTAGGGGCTAATTATGGGATATGTTATTCCCCTTTAATAGAAAATCTGGCGTACTTTTAGGTTTATTTTTATACATTTGTTGTAGAATATGTTATTCTATTATTAGTTGTAGATTATGAAATATTTTATAAATTCCTAAGTAATTATGAAAATTTCCCTAATTTTAATTTTTATCGCGAGTGTTGGGCCATTAACTCAGTCCAGCATAAAGTCCTTAAAATTCTCAGTTTCAGCTATACGACCTAGAAGCTAGAACGACATCAAACTCCCCAACGAGTAGGACGTAACCGAAGCCTGCATCAAGCTCAAACCGGCGTCCCTTTCTGTTCTCCTAAACCCTGTTCTGGTTTGTCTAGGTCTTTCCGTTTGTGATTTGAGAATTGAAAGCTCTAGCCTTTTCACATGATCAAGGGTTGAAAATTATTCAATATTGCTCCCGAACAAGTGTCTTGACAATCAACAGCATGAGAAAACCAAGTAAGCCTTCTAATTGATCTATCGTTTATTATTCTTAAAGTTTATGACTTTATGTAATCGCTGCAAAATCTTGCATCGACGTGGCCAGATGTGATGTGATGTGATGTTTGTGTTATTATATTCTTAAAAGTTTATGACTTTACGCATCCGTATTAAAAAGTGCCCATCATATTTGACATATACAGTTGAAGCGTTACTCGTATGAGTGAATTCGGGCTCCTATTGAGATCCATAGAAAACAAATACTGTACGATTTTAGGTTAAGCAAAAGGTAAATGCTGCTTTATCTTCTAAAGTTATTGAGTCATATATAGGCCTAGGATTTTACCAAAAATTTTACATCCCAATAACAGAAGTATACCTTTTCTTGGTCACCTTAAGATCAGGAAAGAACGAAAATAGTGTTCAAAGCCTTTGAAATATTGGTTGGTCTATCAACTTAATTGGAAAGACTTTGAGTTGAGAGAGGTTGAAGTGTTGGTTGGTTTGTCAATTTGGAATATCATAGATATGTTGCATCTCCAATTTAGATAAATGGTGAATTGGTGATAGTAAGCTTTCGGCTGTGGTCTATCCAACAAAATAACAAGTCCAGAGTAGGCTTGATTGCCAACTTGGAGGCCAAAAGTCTATGGGCAGGCCTAACCAGCATGCAGAAATTGGCAGTTAACATCATATATATATATTTTGAGCTGTTAAGTATTCTCGCACATTCTGTTTCACAACAATTCCTGTTTGCACTCAAGTTTTCGTCATCATGTCAGTACTCGATCGTCTTATTGACGCTGGGATTGGTACTATATCAAGGTGTATAACTTCTAGCCTGAGAAGAAAAGATGGCATCTTGCACCACCCCGAGTTCAATCAAGCCATCGCCGAATATGGTCGGGTAAATGAATATATATTTTACTTATGGTGGAACTCGAGAAGCAAATTTCTAAAAGGAAAGAGAACTTTAAAAAGTTCTAAAATAATTTCAAATTTAGCGAAACAAACCAACTGCTAACACTTGCTATCTCTTTTTAATGGAATTCAGACATTCACCCGTAAGCGTGTTAACGAGGACGATGCAATGCTGATAGGTGTCGATGTTCTTGTCCGTTATACGGTATTCAGAATTAATTTATCCTTGATATTAATTTACTTTCAAAGTCTAGCAAACAACGACATTTACTGGATGCATGCTTATTTTCAGAGGGACTATGATTACTTATTTATTACTTTTTTTGTTTGTTTAGTTCATACGTTCTGGAGGTGTCGGTTTCATCTATTTTATGAAAAGTTATTTCGACTGGCTGAAAGAATGTAAGTTGGAGATAGAGCGAAGCAGGGTAAGATCCTTCCAAGAAGCCGAACAAGAATTGGAGCAAATCATGCAACAATATCAAATTTCCAAGCCAAGTATCAAGGGAGGTAAAGCAGGAATTGTACCCTTTGTGTATCTAACCGATGAAAAAAACAGTCGAGGACACCTATTATTATTGACCTGTTAGTGTAGATCATGATGTTAATTCTATCTTGTTGAGTTAATCATCCTTTAAAGGAAAAAAAAAAAAAAAAAAAAGAGGTTAGTTTGATCTCTTACATCTTATAATTGTCGCAGGCAATGAGCCAAAAGCTGCAGATGGAGCTCAGGCCAAGGCAACGAAAAATGAAAAACTATGACCGGGAGCAGTTAAGTTAAGGCTTGAATAAGAATTCCCAAATTCTAAGGCTTATCACCAGTATCATTGTTGTTAGTGTTGTCTCAAGTCGAGATTGCCGTGTGGTCGACTCCAAGAGCTGAGGAAACGTTGAGCAACATCAACAGTCATAGTAGAGAATATGTAAACATAGTTTTCATATTATATTATTTCCACTAGTAAACTTGTCGCGAAAAATTTCATTATATTTATAAAATGAACCTTCTCTAATATTCAAATAATAAATTTGTTATATACACTTAATTGTTTACCTTCTCATTATAATAGTTTTGTTGTTTGGCACGAATGCAACAGAAATAAAAGAGATAAATTTTCTGATCTTTGTCTAATTTTAATGATCATAGCTCTATATACCTTTCATTTATTTAATTCTTACTCGTTGTTCGAAAATTATTCCTGGTTCTTCCTTTTCTTCCTTTTTATCCCTTCATTCTAACTCCTCCTTATCTATTACTCTGAAGCCACATTTCTAAACTACTCTTATATAAGGAAAATCACGTTCACCCTGACATTGACTAAGTTTATTCATACAATGCATCTAAGGAGATACATCCTGACAGTAAGTGCAAATCTTAATCTGCTAATAAATGTGATTAACATTCCACTTATCCGAAAAAAAAAAATCATAACGACGGAAGAGGTGCGATATGTGCTGGCTTTTTAAAATAAGATGAGTGGAAAAAAAGAGAGGAAAAGCTAGAAAGAGAAAAAAGATAAATAGATTCCAGTACTTTGGATTATGTCACAACATTATATTTAATGGAATGAAAATAAAAATAAAAAAGTTGACGTACATAAGTAAAATAAAGGTATAGGCATTAATCCCTATATTTAGTTTTTTTTTTTCGACCAAGGAAGTGAAATTTTACAATAGAAATGCGCATGTAGTAGAACTAACATGCTAATAAGCATAAATATCCTAGATGACTAAAAAGTAAGGAAAGACATGGAGAAAAGGGGGAATAAGCACATAACACTTATTTGCTAATCACGACCCTCACTCTGAGAGCATTAAAATCCCAAAAGAATTACCCAAAAGCAAATATAAAGAAAATTAAGAAAAATAATCACAATTACTTGTCGATTAACAAAGCAAAAGGAAATATAAATTCAAACTATAAAAATAGTCATACTCTGAATCAACAAAACAATGAATTTAAATATGTCAAAATTATTTTAGTCTTTACCAATTGAACATGTTGACTATCAGTACATGGATGTGAAAGAAAAATAAAGAAAATTAAAAATCACAACAAGTTAGTCCAATAAGCACAAAGTAACGAATGAACAATACCTTCTGATTAACAACAGCAAAAAGAAAAATAGGAATACCACCTCCTCTTGTCCTTTGAACACAAATTTAAAACAACTGAAATGTTGTTATTGGAGGATACATACCATTTATCTGGAATAAGCAAAATTGACATTTAAATAAGTAACAAAAAATATATTATATATTTGTAAAATCAAGACCTTTTTTATTAGCACATAATCGAAACTGCTTTGCAATTTTTTTATCACCTTGTTGTCAAGAAGCTTACCGTAAAAAAAATCTAACTATAAGATCTCTTAAAACAAAATCCACAATTTAGAGATTTATCAGATTTTTTATCTTGACAACCAAGCAAAGAGGGAAAGCACAAATCGTCCCTTTCATAGTGCGGCCTTCTGCAGTAAAATAGACTTAAAGAAGAGGAAAAAGCGTTACTTTTTTTTTTCCCAATGGAAAATCCGTAACTCACTAAGTTAAAGAACAAAAGAAGAGGAAAAGGCGTACTGAAGAACAAAAGAAGAGGAAAAGGCGCAAGTGTAATTAAGACTATTTATTGGACGTGACTTTTCGGTTTTTTTTTATTAGCACATAAAAAGAATATATACGAAAAATTGGCAAAAAAAGGAGAAAAAAGATAAGGAGGTTTCCTTGTTCAAGAGATTGCCACATCACCTTGCCTAAGTCCCTCAATTATATATATATATATATAGATTTTTGCTTTTTCTATTTATTTCTTTGAGTATGTCCTTTATCTTTTAGTTTTACTTGCTATAAATTTTTATTTGAGAGAAATAGAAAAAAATTGTCTAACTTTATGATATATAACTTTCAACAGTTCATTCTAAGAAACAAAATAGCACCATATTAGTAATTCTCTCTTGTTGATAACTACGTAACTAGTTTAATTCTAACCTCATATATGCTAATATGATGCGGGGAATCAGTCCTGCAACTTTGCATGTGATTTGTTGGTGCAAATTGATTGACATTTTATTTTCTTCCTGAACTAACATCATTTAACTTGTAACAACTTATATGAATGTGTTTGCAACATCTGTAATAGGTTCATTTAATTTAATTGTAATTTTTCAGATAGGTGTGCCAAGAAAATTTCCGTGTGCTAATTATATTAATTAGCACAGGAATGAGGACTAAGAATATGAAGTATACACACCTGAACATGATAATCAGTGATGGGTGTATTGGAAGTGGTTTAGTGTCACGATTCAAATCCCATCATAAGGCCGTGATGACACCTAGTCTCTAAAACTAGGTAAGCCGATCACTTATCAACATTAAATCAATAAATTATGATAGAATAAATCAGAGTTTAATATAAATACGGAAATAAAGCTAATACAAGCCAAAATGGCAATACTCAATATAACTCTCCAGAACTAGGTAGTACAAAGTCACGAGCTCTAACTGAATACATAGAAATATCTCAAATATAATATTGTTCGGATATAAAAATGACACTATAAATATAAAAAAGAAAGGACTCCATATTAATAACGTTTATCTTCTTATCCAGCACTCACCTAGCTATAGAAATATATGAAACGAACTTAATACGTGAGCTTTGGCTCTGATCATAAACTCCACAGTCAATGATAGGTTTCGAGTGCGACTGTGCGAGAATGATTTATTTGAACTAGAAGATATAAGGAAAATATATAACTCTCTCTCTCTCTCTCCCCTACTCTCTCTGTCTCTCTATCTCTTATTCATGTTGCACAATTGGTGTTCAAATTGAAATTGTCAACCAATAAATTTTGAAGGTGTTTGACTCTCCACCATCGATAACCATCAAAAAGCTTTGAAGTTTTAAATTCGAATTGAGTTTTCAAAAACCATTATTTGTTTGGATTGGGTGTTGTTGCAAACAATTGGGAGTATTGTTGGATGTTTATATCTCAATTTTGAGGGTGTTTGGTGAGGATTAGACTTGATTTTGGTTGAATTTCAGATTGAAACTCGAAGAAGAAGAAGAAGAATACATGATATACAATATACTAATGATTATATATATATATATATAATCGGTAAAAATAATGTATAAAAGTTGTGGATAAGTTATAGATTAGTTTGTAAACAAGTGTATACTGTATAATTAGTTGTATGAAATTTATTTTTAACGTATAAAAATTGTAAATAGATTATAAATAAGTTGTATATTATATAATTAATTATATAAAATATAGTATAATTTTTTTTCTCTACAACATTTGCTCTATAGTTGTGCTAATACTTTGAAGAGGTTTTACTAAAGAAAATAAGGTGGGTCACCACTCACCATTGACAACCTCAACAAAAATTGTTCCTTGGGAAAAACAAAATATATTCTTATTTCAAGCTACATATGAAAATGGGAGGTAATAATTTTGTTGGGAGAGAATATGATGGTTCCTTGTATTTTCTTTCTTTGTTCGGAACGACTGGTAAGAGTTTTAGATGAAGATAAGAAAGAGATGAAATCTTGCCATTAAATTATCATAGGGATACGTTGTAGAAATACACACGTGACTAATTGATTTGTACAGCTGTATAGATTTTCTGTTAGGAGTGTTAAAGATTAGTTATAGAAGTGAGTAGAGGTCTATATATGTGTGTGTGGGAGTTTATGTATTTTTTAATTTTCAATTCAGAAAAGCGATTATAACCGACTTTCCCTCTACTGTGTCTTCTTCTTCGATTTCTCGTGTGAGCTTCCTCTACTCTTTAATGGCGAGATTTCACATGGTATCAGAGATCGAGTAGATCGATCGAAGTAGGAGATTACTAGTTCACTCAAAACTCTAGAAAACATCAAAATTCGAAGCTGTTTTCTGAAGATCAGCTATGGAGAATTTGGACATTGATAATCCTCGTCATCCTCTGTTTTTGCAATCTTCCGATAACCCTAGAAATGTCATTGTATCGATACAGCTCAAAGGAACTGAAAATTACTCAGTTTGGAGCAAGGCGATGGTGATTGCGTTGCGAGCAAAACGCAAGCTAGGGTTTATCGATGGGAGCTCTACAAAAGCTCAATTTACGGCAGATCTGGAAGAGGAATGGGAACGAGTGACTGCTACTGTACTAACGTGGATTATGAATACAGTTTCACCAGATTTGGTGAATGGAATAGTGTATGCAAGTGATGCTCATGAGGTGTGGGTAGATCTGCAGGATCGATTTGACAAGGTCAACAGATCGAGGATCTACAACCTTCAACGTGAGATAGCTACCATCTCCCAAGGTACCTCTAGTATTTCAGTGTATCACTCTAGGTTGAAATTACTTTGGGATGAATATAACTTTATGATACCCTCACTTCCTGTTACGGCCGATACTAAGGATTTCATTGAACGTCTGGAACAATAAAAACTTTTTCAGTTTTTAATGGGCTTAAATGAATCGTATAATGCAATTAGAAGTCAGATATTGCTTCAAGTTCCATCACCTTCTGTTAGTCGTGCTTATGCAATGATAATAAATGAGTAGAATCAAAGGAGAGTGTTTGAAAATGGGTCACATGTTAATGTGACAAGTGAGGTGAATGATTCAACAGCCCTGATGAGTTCTAAGGATAATCAGCCCAAATTTAGGAGGTTTAATAACTTGTATTGTGAGTATTGTCGAAACAACGGACATACAAGGGAAACTTGTTACAAACTGGTTGGATATCCACCTGGCTTTAAAGGAAAGAAACAGCAGCAATATAGGCAGGCTAATGTGGTTGTGGGTGATGACAATTTTGGTAAGAATGCTGGTGGAAATGAGGATAATGTTGGGAAGAGTCAAGAAATGCTGAACTTCTTTACAGATGAGCAGTATAATCAGATCATGAAGATGATCAACAAGGATAAGCCAGAAGAGCATGCAACAAACATGGCAGGTAATGCTAATTCACAACCATTAGAGACTGTAAGTGATTTTTGGATTATAGATACTGGTGCCACTGATCATATGGCATCAAACAGTGAAATGCTGAAAACTATGACTAGTCAGCCTGAC